CATTGGGGAGGAATTTGGGGACATTGAGGGGACATTGGGGGCACAGGATGGGGACATTGGGGACACTGGGGGGGAGGTGACACCGTGGGGGTGGGTGACACAGAAGGGGGGTGACACTGGAAGTGGGTGACAATGGGTGGAGGTGACACAGAAGGGAGGTGACCGTCGTGGGGGGAAGTGACAGTGGGGTTGGGTGACACAGAGGAGAGGTGACATTGGTGGGGAGGTGACAGGGAGGTGACAGCGGTGTCGCCAGGTGCAGCACCTCGACATGAAGGTCCACTTTGATGGGAACATGGGGACACTGGGGGGGAGGTGACACCATGGGGATGGGTGACACAGAGGGGAGGTGACACCGGGGGTGGGTGACATTGGGGTACAGGTGACACTGGGGGGGGGGTGACACTGAGAGGAGGTGGCACCATGGGTGGGTGACAATGGGGTGGAGGTGACACCATGGGGGGAGGTGACACAGAGGGGAGGTGACACCGTGGGGATTGGGTGACAATGGGATTGGGTGACATTGAGATTGGGTGACATCTGGTTTGAATGACAGATGTGTATGGTGGAGGTGACACAGAAGGGAGGTGACGCCATGGGGGACGGTGACAGTGGGGTTGGGTGACACTGAGAGGAGTTGACACCATGGGTGGGTGACAATGGGGTGCAGGTGACACCATGGGGGGAGGTGACACAGAAGGGAGATGACACCATGGGGGGAGGTGACACTGGGGTTGGGTGACACAGAGGAGAGGTGACAGTGTTGGGGAGGTGACAGGGAGGTTACAGTGGTGTCCCCAGGTGCAGCACATCAACAGGAAGGTCCGCTTCGATGAGGACATGGGGACACCAGGGGGGAGGTGACACCGTGGGGGTGGGTGACACAGAGGGGAGGTGACACTGGGGGTGGGTGACACTGGGGGGGAGGTGACACCGGGATTGGGTGACACAGAGGGGAGGTGACCGTCGTGGGGAGGTGACAGCGGTGTCCCCAGGTGCAGCACATCGACACGAAGGTCCACTTCGATGAGGACATGGGGACACCGGGGAGGGGAGGTGACACCGTGGGGGTGGGTGACACAGCTGGGGGGGTGACCCAGAGGTGAGGTGACAGTGCTGGGGAGGTGACAGGGAGGTGACAGGGAGGTGACGGCGGTGTCCCCAGGTGCAGCACATCGACCTGCGGGATCGCTTCGCGGGCGACATGCGGACGCTGGAGCTGCTGCTGCGCATCGTGGAGTTCATGCACCCCAACTTCGGCTTCAGCTGGGTGCTGCAGGTGGGCGCCCCAAAATGCCACCCCACTGTCACCTCACTGTCACCTCACTGTCACCTCAGTGTCGCCTCAGTGTCGCCTCAGTGTCACCCCAGTGTCCGTCCAATATCCCCCCAATATCCCCCGAATTTCCCCCCAATATCCCCCCAGTGTCCCCCAATGTCCCCTCAATGACCCCATTATGTTCCCCCGCTGTCCCCTCGATGTCCCCTCAATGTCCCCTCGATGTCCCCATGCTGTCCCCCCAGTGTCCCACTGATGTCCCACTGATGTCCCCATGTTGTCCCCCCGCTGTTCCCTTAATGACCCCTCAGTGTCCCCCCAGTGTCCCCTCAAGATGCCCACAATGTCCCCCGTTGTCCCTCCAATGTCCCCTCAATGTCCCCATAGTGTCCTCACGATGTCCCTGTAGTGTCCCAGCGATGTCCCCATGATGTCCCCTCATTGTCCCCTCAGTGTTGCCCTAGTGTCCCCATGCTGTCCCTTCAATGTCCCCATGATGTCACCCATGGTGTCCCCATGCTGTCCCCCAATGTCCCCATGCTGTCCCCATGCTATCTCCTCAATGTGCCCATGCTGTCCCCCCAGTGTCCCCATGCTGTCCCCATACTGTCCCCCAATGTCCCAGCTACGTCCCCCCAATGTCCCCCCAGTGTCCCTTTAGTGTCCCCTCAATGTCCCCATGCTGTCCCGCCAGTGTCCCCTCAATGTCCCCATGTTGTCCCCACGCTGTCCCCTCACTGCCCCCCCAATATCCCCATGCTGTCCCCATGCTGTCCCCCCAATGTCTCTTCAATGTCCCCTCAATGTCTCCTCAATGTCCCAATGATGTCCCCCTGCTGTCCCC